GGAGACCGAGCGAGGAGAACAAAAAGGACGTTGATGCGGGGCAGGTGGTGCCTATCAGATCTCATCGGGAGGTTGATGTTTGTCAGGGATCCTAGCAGTCCTCCTTAGAGGCCTTGACACTTGAAGTTCGGTGACCGAACTTGGGAGCAATGAATTGATTCATCGAATCGGTGGAATGGCTGCTAAGGACCCAGCAACCAGCGAAGGGTATACCGTGCGCTGGCTTAAGAGCATCTGTATGAAGCCCCCCCCATCCAGAACAGATAAAGAGAAAGAAAGAGTTCTGGGACCAATCATCCTTTAGCATCCTTTATTTTCGAGGGCAGCGCAGTAGAGGACCTACAAAGCAAATCAAGAAGAGGTACGACCAGCGAAATAGACTCAATAAACCGATAGAAATAGACTCAATAAACCGCTTGAAATATTGAATAACATAGTTTCCCGTTTCGTTTTCTACAAGATCAAGATGCCAGCAACTGTTGTGTCCACCCAATGCCAACAGGAGACTTCGAAGATACGTGTAGAATGCAAGCAGAGACCGAGAGCCCCTGTGCAGACTCACAAGCAGAGTCTTACTCTCCCACTCACTAACATGGAAATGGAAAACTCCCTGCTCGTAGAGCAAGATTCTATGTTCAACCGCTTCCAAGGGAGTGTAGAGTTTGCGGGCAAAAGGTGAATCTAAGCAATACAGTCGGGACTCGCTTCTCCTCTCAGGCAGCTGGCGGTTCTGCAGGCGCCAGTCTCGCCTGGCTCGTGGGGTTGAGGATTCGTTGATCCATTTAAGACTCCATGGGACTGCCATATGCTATATTGACTTCCCTGGTGCCCTGCCACCCTGCCGTCCTAAGTTGGTCGTGGGATTCGAATCCGCCCTTCTCGGAACCTGTGGCCAGTTCGGACGCCTGCATTGAAGGACGAAGGAGTGGAAGGAGTCTTCGGGTATAGAGCTCTTCTCTGGATTGAAACTTGTATGCGGTGTGTATGGTAGGGTGCTTGATCCAGAGCTCCAAGTGGAATCGATCAAACAAAACTAGTTGCGGACCATGATGATTGCAGCGCCAGGAGGCTTTGAGGAAGATGCTTCTGCGTGACAGTGTCATCTCTGTGGCTGCACAGCATGACGCGTGGCCGAACAGTTTTCTCGACGAGTGAAGAGTGTTCAGATGCGCTTCAAGGCGTGCCAGTCCACTTCGCCGGGCCTTTGTGCCTGAAGCCTGTATCAGACATTCCATGCGACTGGCATGCAAACACATGCATTTGGGGGGTGATTGGATTCAGGGGCCTTCTCGGCGGCATTTCTTCCAGTCCCACAGAGTCTTTGGGATAGCTATAGCTGGCTATACCATTTCGCCGTGTTTCCCTCCGAATGTCCGGCGCATTTGATCCGGCCGCTCACTCGAGAGTGCGGCAGAGGCGTCCTGTTTCATTTCGAGGCCCTCAGTTTCGAGGGTGCTTGAGGTGGGTTTGGAGAGTCTTTGTTACGGTTTCAGAGGGACCGGCACTGGCACCCCAAGAGGTCTTCTAGACGGGGTCCATGTAACCACCGTTTGGTGGTTGTGCCATCTACTCTCAATGCACTTTTGCTATAACCATACCAGATATGCTCAATGGGATCTTGAAACATTGCAATGTCCTCTATGGGGCCGCTTGTCAGTCAAGCAGTCAAGCAGTTCACTTTTCAGCCTATTTGGGGCCCCTCCACCTTCCATTCCGTGCCTTTCATGTTTGTTTTTCCCCAACTTTTCGGTGCATATGCTTAATGTTTGTAGAACGAAAAGTGGGGCAGCAATTGGTGATCTCTCAGCTGGCATGGAGACCAGATCTTCAAGAGTCCATGACCCCAGAGGGAATCTCCCCAAAGGGTTCCGATAACATCATATAACCATCGTCATGTTCCACCAACTCATCATATAAGCATGTTTTCAGAATGTGCAATGCTTACTAAGGATGGGAAGAAGTAGAAGGACAACAACAACAACAATAACAACAACACTGCTGTCATATCCCGAAAGACCCGTGTAAAACGGAGCGACACCACGCAGCGCTTGATGATCCACTTGACCCGTCAGAGTCTGCTTCGTCACATTTTTTGGAGTCTGCGACTCGCGTTCTCAGGAGATCCTCACGGGGTATTACCAGGGCATCTCCACGAAGAAGCTCCAATCGCAAGCGATCTTCCTTTGGTACGACCCTTGGACCCGGTGAAGAGAGATGGCACCCTTCTCCACACAGCCAACACACAGCTTGCACTGCACTTCTCAGAAGCTGGAAGAAGGGGTGTTGGGTGGGTTTCGTAGACCAAATCCGGGCTCATCACGTGGGAAGGGTTTTGAAATGCTTTCAGGGTCCGGAATTGGTGCTATGCATATATAGAGAACAAAACATAGATTCTTAGGCCCAATATCAGGCACAGGCCCGGGAGCATGACTTCAAGGAGCATACATGCACTTGTTATTGTCACTACAATCCCAGTCTCAATGCAGTTTGATACCTCTTTTAATCTGACTGCCTTCTGAGAACCTCCAATTGGTCGACCGTGTTTACACAAGCTTTTCGAGGCGAAGGAGACGAGGCTTTAGCCCCTAGGCACTGGTCGACCCAGGAACTCATGTATCGAAGTCTCGGTTGCTCAAATCACTGACTTCGATTGGCTTGGCAGCTTAGGGCCTTAGCCAACCCTATCAGAACTCATAGTGCTTTGCATTGGCCAACGGGGTGTGGATGTTTGGAAGAGGCAAATACTGAATACTTCGTATGAGGATTTCATGGTCTTTCCGGGCAGGACGTGAACTTCCGATGGTTGGAGAGAGGGCTAGGTATTCCCCTTACGCGACTCATGGGACCCCCTAGCCTATGCCGAGAAACGGCTGGTGCCAGGGGGGCCTGTCTGGGGCGGCAGATCTTCCAGTCCAGTCGTGTATGGGTCACGGTGGTGGCCGGGTTTCGGCATCCGGGAATAGGGTCCGCGACCGTGCGAACCTTTAGGACCGGTGAACTGGACCGTTGGACCCACCCCAGTGTCCTCCCATGCCGTGTTGTCTTCATGTTCAATTGTGAAAAGATGCGTATTATGGAATATTCCCTCTTAGAATGGTTTAATTCGTATGGTCATAGTTTCCCAAGAATAGTTTCTTCTTCATTCTTAGAATGGTTTTTGATGGAAACTAGTTGATGTTAGAGGGAGAACAGACCTACAGGACCCAATTATTTTGACATTGGTACATTATATTCTTTTGGATCTAGGGTGAACCGTCTATAGCATTTAATGTCTATTTTGTGATGAGAATGAAAGACAAAGACATGAATTCCTTATCTGCGATGAAGCCTCCATTTATAAATAGAGTGTTTTCTTCATTCATGGACGTTGATCTACAAGATTAGGTTTCATAACAAAAATAGGAACTTCATCTCCTTTTGGCTCAGCCAAGTATGGGTTATGGTATCTCCAAATCGCCAGGCTTGCCTGCAATTCCGGGAGGCAACCAAACAAGCTGCAGACCAGGAGAACTCTGTACTCGATACCCTTTAGCTCACCAACATGGAAGTGGAACACTGGAAGGCTCCCGTTACGAGCCGACCGCACTTATAGGGCGCGCAAGCGCGCCCCCATTCCGTGTTCATGGGAGTGTTCCTGCCATGGAGAGCATTCAATAGAGTGCTTTGCGACCAAAAGGGCCCTGACCTGAACCAACCCTCAGCCTAGGACCAACCCCCCCTCAGCCTAGGACTACTTCTCGTGCCCTCAACTCTCCGAGACAGATTTGAAGAATGCTGTTTACAGTATTCCTGGCTGCTGGGCTGCATACGATGGGCTGTATCGCCTCATCTTGGAGAGGCTTGGGTGGTTTGGCGGCTTTCTGCGTGAAGCAGATGAAAGGCAGCAGGTATGGCACTTCCCAGTGACCTTGCGCAGGTCATTTCCCAGTAATTGCCCAGACACTCCATGGAATATACTGATGATACAGCGATACAGTATTATATACCCACCCCTGAAACCACCCCAATCATATATGCAAATATACCAGTCCCATAGAGGAGTGTTTGGGATATTCCATCTGAAAGCGAAGCAAGCGAGGAACGGCAAAGGGCCGATTGGGAAGTGACGAAGTGACCTGAAGGGTATGCGCTGCTCACTGTGAAGACAAATCGAAAAGAAACCAGCTGCTTCTTTAGGAGTAACAATCCAAGACACAATCACTGAACAGATAGATCATCACTGACATGGCTTCGCACACTTCAGATAAAAGGCCTTTCAACAGTGAACGAAGCCACGTTCACCACACTTGCCAGCAAGACTCACAGGGAGCCAGATGCCACCCCCCACATTCCACCCCCCAGATATAGTATCTTAGCCAGTGTTGCAATAACACATCATGGGGCCAAGCATTCCACGCTTAGACCACTTGCACTTCAGGGGCTATTTCCCACCCACCTCCTGGAACACGGTTCCACCCCATGGAACCACCGACATTTCGGCGCTGTGCTTGGTGACCACACGGTCACCCACACCAACGGGTTTGGCCGAAGCTGGCCTCCCCCACACAGGAAGCAAAAAAAAAGGGCCAGGTTAAGGCAACCTTGGGGTCAGTAAGTCTTGAAAGACCGAAGGGAGGCCAAGCAACATGTTCTTGGACTTATGACGCTTCGACTCACTCACATGGACGTGGCAAACCTCCCCGTGCTTCGTAAAGGCCAGGTGAGCCAGGGTGTAGGACTTGTCGGGCTTGGTTCCTCCGTATGGCGTCTATGTGGCGGCATGCAACTCGTATGGAATCGGCAGAATGTGTTTGAGACATCCAGTGAGCTTCGCACGAAAAACATCCAGCACCCGAAGTCAGTACATATTGACGAGGTGAGGGTGGCTTCGACGCATCACTAAGCAGCTGTATGCAAGTTATGATTCAGGGCATTTCTTAGTCAGAGGATGCACAGAAGAGGAAAGAAGCTAGGATCGCTTGGGATCATGGGTTTCTTGCTGCAAGCTCTGATGCTGTGCCATGAGCACCAAGAAGCGTAAGACCTTGGACGATGCGCATGGGTCGGGATTCTCCAGCTCGCCTGGGGAGGATGCCGCTGCTTCAGAAATAGAGGTGGCATCCGATGCTCAGCTGTCCAACAGTAAGCTTTGAAGACTCTTGTTCTGTTTTTCCAACTTGTTCCAATGTGGTTTTAGAACCTGCAGTTGGTTGCTGTTGGTTGAACAAAAGCACCTATCACCCCCAACTTTCAACATGGAGCATGGGCTTTGATCGCGACCCTTCGGGCTTGGTTCTGGCATTTCAGGAGTAACCAAGGCCCCACCGGGTGGCGGGGTTCAGTCGTTTGGTCGTAATGCATGAGTGATTGGGACAACACGGGTGACTAAACCCCCCCAGCACTTGGAGGCTCCAAAAAGAGCCTGTGTGGGCTTGGTTTCGACCGAGGATGAAGAGCTGGAAGCATTTTCACCTGTGGTGGTGGAGGAAGTCCTTCACGAGGAGAAGACCGAGTATCAGACTCTGATGATCTTTCGTAGCAAGAGCTATGGCACCCCGGGCCGAATCATTCAATGATTTGAAGTGTGTAGCCAGAACGTTGTCGTAGCCAAAGAAGAGGAGTGGAGCAACTACCTCCACACCCCTGAACTTGTGACTAGCTGACTAGGTTCCGAAAGGGAGCAAAGCACCACCAGAAAGGTGAAACTAGCAGGCTTTGGGAGCTCCTGGTGGCCCAGAAAGGCCCACTGTGGTTTCAGAGGCCCGATGGCACAAGCCCCAAAGTTAGGATGCTCAACTTTGCAAGCCCATCCCAGATCTAGAGTGGAGTGAAAGAAGCTGCTTGAATATGCATGAAGCGACAAGCAGGAGCTTCGCACGAAACCATGGTGGGTGTGCATGAATGTTTGGCCCAGTGGCTTTGGGTCTTTCAATCCCGAGCCTGCCAGGGGATTGAACTGCGAGGTCTCACTCGCTTAAGGCACACCCATATATTATGATACCTGTTATATATCCCAATGTTAGCTTGAAGAGGGCCCCTATATTGAAGAATCGTCAACATGGCTTTATGAAGTTCCGGTCATCTGAGGTCTTTGCCTCTCCTTAGATGGGGTCCTTCAGTCAACCGAGCGAGATGAAGCGATCTACCACGAATACCTGGTACACGTGCCCCTGCTTCTGTGCGACACGCCCATCGTCCGTGTGTTGATTTGTGGCGGTGGCAATGGAGCAGCAGCACGAGAAGTGTTGAAGCATGGGAGTGCCTTAGTCATGGAGATGAACATCCGGACTGGCCTTGTTTAGACCATTTAGGAACTATTTCTGTTTTTTTCAACCAGAAATGTTCCAAAGAGAGCCCGGCCGGGTCAGGTGTGCAGGAAATCGTCCTCATTGACATCGACCCGGCTGTTTGCAGGGCGGCCAGGCGTTTTCTCCTTCCACAGGCCTTTGCTTTGTCCGATGCACGAGCCTCTTGGGATTGCCGAAGGCAGGCTTGTTATGACAAGAGGGGACCGCCCAACCGTGCTTGGGCGGTGCTAGAACTTGGTCAGACCCATACATGGACCTGTCTCCCCCACGTGCTTGGCGAGGGCCCACCCCAAGCATCCCCCAGTCCCACCTTCTCAGAGGGTAGTTGGAGCCCTAGGGCAAAGGATCCCGCCTTTTTGGAGGCTTGGTTTGTGTGATTGTGTCCGGTCCCGATCCGGTGTTCGAATCCTCCATGGATACATTGGGGTGGTTTTAGGGGTCAATGTAGGTAAATAAATATCATTTGGATTTGACTCCACCTCTATCGTGAGATACCTTGGGATCTAAGGTGAAAACGATTTTTGCCGATGCATCGGATTTTCAGAACTGGCCACCTGGCTCCTTCGACGTCATCGTGGTGGACAGCACTGACTTTGGCTCCACCGCCGGACGGAGCAACAGCCTGTGGTCGAAGCAGTTCTTTGAAGGTGCGTGGGCCCAGAATTTATATAATGCATTTGTTGAATGACACCCCTCACATGATCTCAAGAAGCATATATATATATATGTACGAACCAGGACCTTCAAAGTGACCCTTTGATATCCCAGGATGAGGTCACTTAGGTCTGTACAAGGTCACAAACAGAGACTCCAAAGAGGTCACTTTGAAGGTCCTGGAAGAGGTTTTACAAATCCAAATCGCAGGGGGTGGGGGTGGCTCTTCTTGCTGGAAATCCATGAGGCAAACACGCTGAAACATCCAGCTGCGACCCATCCATTACTGCACGTTGTAAAGTAGCTCCCACAGTACCGCCAGATTAACTGAAGAACTATATAGTCGTAAATAGGTAGAAAGTAGATGAAAGTAGTAAAGCCAATGGTACTTGATTAGTAATGGTCCCAAAGTGATGGTTGAACTAGTGCTGACTTCAAACCATTCTAAGCCAAGTCTCAACCTTGCACGACGTACGCCCCTACACCTCGCCTGGGAGGTTGCTGGAAGCGTTTGGCTCCCACTGGGCACCTCTCCACACAACTCGGCGCCTGCCGTGCCAGCCCGGGTGGGTTGTGCTGGAGCGCCGCGGTCGACACCGTCGCAACGCTGCGCGCAGCAGGCTTGGCGCATGTGGAGGCGAGGAAGGACGCTCTGAAAGAAAACAACATAAACAACGGACGTATGTAATGAGGCGCTTTGTGAGTTGGTGAGACGTTTTTTAAACGACAACTCGCTAGATGTGTTTGGCTTTCAAGCATCGTAGCACAGGATCTTCCTTCAGGCTGCGGTTTTAGCATGGCTCACCCTCGGTCTCGAGGTCTATGCGGCTGAGATTGCGTCCTACGGCGGGTTGGCACTCTTTGGTGTGGCTGGAGCACAAGGGAGTGTCACCTGGAGGATCAAGGTCATCGTTTTCTGCGTTTTTCTGCTGTCAGGACTCAGGACAGCAGAAACATGTATGGAACTAGACCTCGTCCTAAAGGAAAGACTGGTAACATGGCACATCATGGCACTAACAGGTCTGACTTGGTTGACCTGTCAGAGGGTGCAGATGAATGATTTCGATGTTTGGGTTCAGAACCCCCACCCGACCCCTGCAGATTGGTGAAGTGTCAGTTTTGTAGGCCCAAAGGTGGAGAAAGTTCCGCTCAATGTCGACCTTTTGGTTCCCTTGATAACGGTTCGGTTCGTGACAGTTAAGTGTTAGCTAATATGTTAACGCACCGTCTTCAAAAGAGAAGCACCGTCCATGCATGGAAATTGTGTATGTGTTTCTGGATCTGGATTGTTGCGGATCGAGGTCTTGGCACCGGCCGGGGCGGTCGAAAACACGAGACAGTTGGAACAGATCGACTGGAGTGGGAGAGCAAGCTTGAGGCAGCTGTCAGGATGTAAAGAACTGGATTTGGCCAAGGGCTTGTCAGCATCCTTCCAGCTTCCGGCACCATTGGCCAAAGCATTGCAGGATGCTCGAGTGATGAAGAACGAGGCCGTCCTTGGAACGAGTGATGAAGAACCTTCATGCGTGAAAAATAGAACCTTGCAGATTGGGAGAGTTTATTGAAGACTCTGATCTAATTTATAATATACGTTCCTTCGGCCAGCCAGCCACCAAAAAAGAATCCACCATCATGTACGACGTGGTACGACCAAAAAAACCGACGCCCCGAATGATCCTGGAGGTGCAAATATTGGGAGATGTCTCTTCGGCCCCCCCAAAAGGAAGCGATCGAAGGTGACTGCTTTGGGACCCTGCTGGGCCCTACAGTAAGACCTAAACCCTACCCACGAAGTGCATGAATCACCTTGCTTTCCCCCACAGATCGATCCAACCAGGTGGAAGGAGGTAGGGCTCCGCTTGCCGGCATTCGTGGGTCAGTTCTGAACCAGCATTTGTTCCACTGCATCCTTCTCAGACGCAAGACTGGCGCGCCTGTTCTCAGGCTATGTTGCTCGTTGTGACTACCTTTTCATCCTTTGCCCCGTTTCTTGGACCAGACGTGCTTAGCCGTTCATGAACAGACCGCTTCTCCAGGGGTGTTCCCCCAGCTTTTGCGTGGGTGAACACCCCATGAATGACCATGCTTTCGCCACAGTGAGTCGTCCAAATGGCTGAATCTACTAAATGAATTTGAGTGATGTGTATGGGGTTGGGGCTCACTCATGCTTCACGTCGATGACCTACCTGAGCCTTAGTGGATTGAGTAAACAGGGGTCACCAGAGTTCAGTTTTTGTTGGACGAAGTTGGTGGCGCAGCTGGCGATTCCAGCGCTTGGATGTGAAGGGACTGGCTTTCTTAGGCAATTCTGGCTAGTGATTTTGGTGTCAGAGTGTTTGTTTTGCATGTGCACATCGCCTCAGGGCTAGATGGAATCTACAGTTCCACCACCAACATGAACCCCAGCTGGCAACTGTTTGATTTCAATTTGTGATGGACTTCGTTTGTATGTGAGGGCCACTGCAAGTGGGAGCCATGCAAGTTTATCTACCGATGTTGTGTGGGTTCTGCGGCGTTAAGTCGCGGCCTGAGGTGATGACGAGAGACTGCAGCTCCTTGGATCCACCGAAGGAGACAAACCAAACCGCGGAGATGGCGCGGGAGGGGCGACCTCCCCGCCCGACCAGCTTTGACTCTGCAAACTCCGTCGTCGACGGGGCTGACAACACTTTTGAACTTCTTTGAGTCGAGTTTCACCTTGAAGCGCTCAGTCAAGCGGCCTTTTTCACCCTTTTCTTTTTGGAGGGCCCCATCTCACGTAGGGGGTCATCGTTTTGGTTCGATGTTTGATCCGTTTTGGCGTGAGAAGAAGCAAGAGAAAGCTTCCGAACAGCCTCTTGGGAGATCTTGGGAGTCAGAACAGCAGAGCAAAACGTGGAGTACGCTCGCCTTCCCTGGTCCTGATGCCCGATTCAATGGTGCGGAGCTTTGTCAGTGTGACATTGAAAGAAGGAAGGGCATCAATCAACCGTTCTTCAAAGGAATTGAACTATATGCTCCGATCGGCAACTTGCTCCCTAGGATCAAAGCTTGCCGGTTCTGAGGTTCTCACCCCGACCGGCGAGTGAGCATAGTTTCCCCAGTCCCTTTACTAAATGAGTAAACATCATTAAACATCCACAAAATGTTCACCTATGCTTTCGGAAGTCCAAACTCACCTTCCCGCGGACTACACATGGGTGCAGGTAAGGACTATATATATATATAGTGACTAAAGTCAAGCATAGTCAACCTGCCACACTTGGAAATCAAGCCAACACATTGACCAATTGCTCCAAGCTGAGGTTCTCCTGTCTTTCTCCCCCGAGCCCACATGTGTGTGTGTGTGTGTACAGTGCTTGATGACCGAAACCCGAGGCTGCGAAAACCAGACCCCAGACCCAATTTGTTATCAACCATCAGATCCATCTCATTCCGAGCTGAACATGCAGGTTCCGAGGCCATGAACAAGTTCACCTGGGCCTCCCGTGGTTGGTGTTTGGCCGAGTCCATGGCCTGCGAGCTTTGCAGCTCCAACCCCCGCGCGGTGGGGTGGAGATCTTGGGGGCGGAGGTTGACGATGGTGCTTTGAGAGGGGTGGAGTTGAGGCTCCAAGAGCTTCCCCCCCTGCAATGTCCTCGAAGTGGATGTCCTTGGCCCTGGAAAGGCAATTTTCCCTAATGGAAGCACGGAGTGATAAACCTCCCCCTCAAGGTTTGCTATTTGGGTGGGTTCAGAAAGGTGCAATTCGAACTTTATTTTGGGGGGTCAATCATGAGAGGTCACCAAGACTAAATCTCATTGATGAGGAGAGGCCCCAAAGACTAAATCTCTTCATGAGGAACGATCCCTGAGACTGATTTTTTTCATGAGGGGAGGCCCCAAAGACTGTTTGGAAAGTTTTTTGTTGGTGGTGAACTGATTAGTTGTTGTTTCATAAGCTGTTGGATTATTTTTCCAAGGCTGGGGAAACAGCATTAATTTTGGGCTCAGAGTGATTATGGGGGATCTTTGGGAGCCTGCAAAGTTTCTTTATATTGGGGGGGGTGTAGGGTTTTACAAAGAATTCAGCCAGGAGTTTCTGGTGATTTGGGGTGATTGGCCAGATCAAGAGCAGTGAGATTGAAGAGATGGGTCCCGTGGTGGCCTGGATTGAGATGCATTAGAGGTGGAGGAGGAGAATCCGGTGAGACGGATGACGCTGAAGATGTGGAAAAAGAGCCATTGGAAGACACGGGATTCCACAACGCAGGATGAGCATTAGACTGCACCTGGGCAGCTGGTGTCAATGAGGAGTTCAGATTCATTGCAATCACCAACTCTGAGCCGCTCCAAGGGCTCTATTCACTCCTCCGCCGGATGGGCCAAGATCAGGTGATCAGTCAGGATCAGCATCAGCCAAAAGACAGACAACTGTGTCAAACACGGTGGGCCAAACTATATATTTGGGACGGGTTAGTGCACGATTTTCAATTTCTGGGCCAACATATTTGTTGAAAGGCGTTAGTTATTTGAGGCACGGAGGCCGACTAAATTAATTGCCCACTTCCGTTGCAGGGAGGGTACAGGCGCCTGACATGCCACACGCACGTTCATATAGCTGGAGATGTTGATGTTGGGGGTCGAAAGAAGTGTGAAGCGACGCGTTGGTTGGGCCAACTCTGGAACGTCACTGTAGTGGTAGACAGGTTGGAAGTATTACTAGAATTTGAATGGATCGGCTTTTAAGCACACAGCCAAGCAGACTTGTACCAGGACCCTCCAAGGGGTGTCCAATGAACTACGTACTCCACACTACCTATAGGCTTCCATTGGGCACCCCTTGGAGGGTCCTGGTAGATTCAAAGAACCACTCAGAACTTTCTGTCATTGCCATGTTTGCCGAAGCCTTCCTCGCCAACATTGCAGGTGGTGTTGGTGGAAAGCGCCGTTCATCTCACTGTCGCACCAGGATGTTGCTCTTGGGGGGGCAAATTGGGTGAGACATGGTTTTGAAGGAACTTCAGCAGTGCAGCAGTGGTTGTGGCATGTGGTTTCGGGTGGACCATTTGCAGCCTCGGGTGGATCACGTGGTGGTTTCAGTTTTGTTTAGTGACTTGGGGGATCTTGGGCAGGTAAGTATAGTCTATAGTAATCATTTGTCGTCCAATCTCATGGGGTTATCCTGGATGCAATGAGGAAACTGCTGATGCCAAAGGTTACCCTCGAAGCTGATGACACACACTGCTGATGCCAAAGGTTACCCTCGAAGCTGATGACACACACTGCTGATTCCAAAGGTTACCCTCGAACCTGATGACACACACAGGCATCAAACATGGTTCCTATGAGAGTTGCAGGTGAAGATTGACCCACATGGTTTCGCATCGTTTCAACCACCGCTCCTCTTCACCTCTCCGGCCCTGGCGCGGCGCGGCAGGACACCAGCAAGTGGTCCTTCGCCCTGGAGAGGGCTCCTGGGCGCAGATGTCAAGTGTTTTTTTTTTCTCGGCGAGATGGACAAGGGCTATCAGTTACAACCTCTACCTTCGCAGGATGTGTTTTTTCGGCCCTAGGGGTGTGCGAACTTCACCAAGTATTGCTGGGCCAGCTGGGTGGATGACAGAATTGCTCCTAAAGTCACGATGCCGAGAAGAGCACAAGAGCATGACACTGGCCACCGGAGTAATGGAAGCAAAAGCAAAATGAACACCTATCCCAGATACCTCGATGTTTGGCAGAAACAAAATGAAATGAAGCAAACCATGCCTTGCAAAGGATTGTGCATGTGCATCATGTGAACCTTCCCCAACATGCGCCCCTCCCCAACCAGAAATTTGATGTGAACAAACTGCAGAGCTGCTCAACAGGTCTCCAGACCTGCCTTTCTCTGAGGCAGCTTCAGCATGGCTGCGGACCGCTCTGCAGTGGCCGAGGTCTTGCAGAGCTTAATCAAGCGGAAACTGAAGCTTTACCTTGAGGAGGGCCAGATCCATCGGTGCCGAGCCTCCAGATCAGTGATGAGTCGCACTGCTGAGTAGTGACTAATTATTTACTCAACTCCTAGTGATGGAAAGATGGCACATGCACGACATATCATGGTATTTACATGGTTTTGGAATGTTTTGGATGGTTTTGGGGACAGGGCAGGCCAAGTTCTGCTTTTCCAAAACCCAGCCAGGGAAATTTTGGTGCACCGTTTTACCGTTTTACACCCAAGCACGGCCTTTTAGGGCCTTTTGGTGCCAGCCCGTGCCAGCCCAATGAGTCTTAAGAGGCACACAGCCCGTGCCGTACGCATTCGGTGCCTCATCGTCCTCCCTCAAACGAGCGAAGTGGAACTTGACCCCTTGCTCCGCAGGGCTGAGACAGGTGGTGCATCGCAGGGTCGAAAAGATTCGTCACATATTCAAACAATCATGGAAGGATGTTTTCACGTGCGTGGGAGAGCACCTTGTGAGCACAATGAGGTTCCCAACGCCCCCAAGCATACCAAAAGCCACTCTGACACTTGCGTTTCCCAATGAGTTTGCAGCTCAAAGGCATCCACCAGACACAGCCCACAGCAGGTCCTTCTAGCCACTTCTAGCTAGCCACGTCGGGAATCCTTGGAAGGATCAGACTTTTGGGGTGGAGACCCCACTCCCTGAGACCTCCGACTACGGCATACCGAGGTCTGCAAGGGTTTTATGCCTGCTTCTGTAAAGACCTAACCCCCGTGAGGCAGAAGCGGTGCATAGTTGGAGGTAGTTGGAAGATCTAGAATCTATTTACATGTATTTACCTACTTGGATCTTCCATCACCACCTCTTCCACACATGCTTCGAAAGTCATTAGGACCTTCCATCACCACCGATTCTGAGACCGTGGATCCATCTGAACCATGGAGTCGACCAGACCTTAAGACCGACCTCTCGGCTCCGCATTGACCAGACCCTGAGACCTCAGACCTCTCGGCTCCCTCCCTCCGTCCGTCAGGTATCGTTTCCTCTGGAGCCAGCAACGGGTTCGCCTCTCGGGCTTCTCGCTGGCTCCGGTGGAGGACATCGTTCCTGGTGGCCCCACCGAGGCCGAGGTCGACCGAGCGAACGGGGGGACGGTGGATGCGGTTCTTTGTGGCGAAGGGGAGGTTTGAGCAAGCTGGAGCCAGTATGTTGGAGTAAGTGTCCAATAAATGTCCCTTAGATTCAGTGGTGACCTAAGTGTATTAGTATGCACATATGTGTGTGCTTTGGAGTAACAAGTGCACAGTTTCTGGCAAAGATTGATATTTTTGGAGCGGAACGTTCCATCCAGGGTCCAGTCACCATACTTGTTTACCCCTGGAGACCTAAAGCTGTTGACAGAGTCCTTCACTTCGCTGGGCGTACTTGACCACCAGGCTGGGCCACCACTGTGCTCCACCACGATCCACCGTGTTTTCCGCTCCCGCGCGTGGACCCGCTCCACCGCGCGGCAGGCGCTGTCGAAGTTCCTTTATCAGAACGGCTTCGCACGCCTCGGTGAGCGCGACGCTGCCGGCTGGTCGCCGCTGTGCTATGCGGCCCTCGGCGGAAATCCGGTCACACGGCGGAAATCCGGTCATACAGTGGAATCCCAGGGATGAATGTTGTTAATACACAAATCTTTGGGATTGGTTGAAGGGAAAACCTCTAGCAAACCAGAGTGTTTATTCCAAGATGATGGGTCAATATGGGTCATCTATGGTTTCCTGTAGATGGGGCCTTGACAACTTAATTGGACAGTGCCCGGCGGGCAAAACCATTCCGACCGGAACAGGAACAGGATCCAAGTTGAGTTCCGCACCCGACCCGCTGGTGCTGTCTGCCCCACCCACACCTGCAGAGCCGTTCCAGGTCCTGATCAGAGAGATGTTGCAGGAGCGGGCCGATCCCAACGATCGAATCACCAAGTGTCTGGGCCGCACCCTCCTGGCCTCATCGCTACGAAGGAAGGAGCGATCGGACGCTACGAAGTAGGGGCTCCTGGCATCGCTACGAACGGAGCGATCGGACGCTACTAGGAACAATTCTCCGAAATGAAGTCATCATAAGCTATATCTACATGATACGTCGTAGGTGTCACAGAACGCAACACACTCTAGGGTTTGGAAGAGGAGTGGAATAGGGTATTTGTATGTATAATTTGACTGTATACATATATATATATATATAAGTATATATATATATATTTATAGATTCACGTCTACCTGGCCTTTAGGAGTTCAAAAATGGGGCCATGTCCCATTCAAGGTCAGCTCCAACGCTCTAAGTGAATTTGGACCAACAGGAGCTCATGAAATTGACCTGTTTTTGCCATCCATTTGGCACCTTGCGCCCAGTTGAGACGTAATTCTTTCCGTTCATTGCGACGGATGTCGGACCAGACGAGGCCGGCACATTTTGCCATAATGCCCAAGAACACTCCAGTGGCCTGACGCTGATGCTTGGGCGTCGGCGGTCGGGCGGGTGTCCAGCAAAACAACAGCAACCTGTGTTCTGGCATGTTTCTAAGATAAGCTCTGTGGTTAGAAATGGGTGGCAACCTTTTGTTGTTGCTGAGTGGTGCAGGTGGCAGATGAGCGCCTTGAGGCTGCGACTCCCAATGCTTTGACAAGAATCGTAAGTGTTGACAAGCGGATGATAATGGTCAGAAAGTGCAATCATGAACGCGCTGGTCCTTCGCCTCTAGACTATTCTAGACTTGAGACAGGCAACAAAAAGCATTTGGAGCCCCAATTGTCTCGGCCTCTCTGGTTGGTTGGAAGAACGTTCAACGAGCTGTGGAACTCGTGCATCATGATCATGAGGTCTTGCACGTGGTCTCCTTTTTACACCACCAAGAGGCGCTGGAGCTCTTACTGGAATTCCGAGCGAATGTGAATGCCAAGGAGCCGTTTTCAGCCAAGTGGGGCGAGGAAGTCCAGCCGTCAAACATGTGCAATGCCTGTATATCACCCGTGGGAATGATGGGAATGAAGAATGTAATCGATCGAATATGATGTTTACATTCGAGTACGATTATTGTACTGCACAATAATTAAACACTATATAGGTTCACTGGATGGACAGACCCCCTTGAGGAATCTCAGCTTCTGATCTAGCAGAACCTGTCAAGTTCCCATTCACTGCCTGAGCTTGAGATCATCATGGGCAGGTTGGGAATCCGTTAGGAAGTTGTATGTCTAGCTGTTTTTGTTGCTGCCTTTTGATCATAGCTCACCCAGTGTGTGGGACATGAAGTCCTGATGGGCACCAGGATGCACTGGGACATATAGCTTTGCATACCGCCAGTGCTGCTTGGTCAGATGTGAGGGGCGTGAGTCAAAACCCAGAAGCTTCTCACGGGGGTGTGAAGATGGTGTAAGACATTTGAGGGAAGCTTGTCAGAGTCTGGAATCCTTTGATCGAGTTCTTTAATTTGTTTATCTTGTTGACCTGTTTTCTTCCCCTGAGCCGCAGGGGGGTCTTGCAAAAAAAACAACGTGTGTCCCCAAGCCACCAGGCAAAGAAGAACACCTAAAACATGGGGCTAAGAAGTAAGAAGCCCTTGGAAGCCAATTGAAGTCCTTTGCACTTCGCCAATGCCTCGAGGCCTCCAACAATGCGCAGGGCCTGCGCACGCTGCTGCATGCTCGCGCCATGGGCGCTCAAGGACCTGTCCCGACCCCGTTCTCCAAGCGGGTCGGTACATGTGTTCTCCATGGTTCTCCAAACGGGATCGCATGCATGAACTGTGTGCCCCACAGCTTTCAAAGTCAGACTGCCTGGCCTCTCTCTCACCAGCCTTCCTCGTGGAGGTGAGGAGAGGTCAGGTGGTTTTTTGAAGTGTATTTGAGCCATCACTAGCAACCAGACCTCCTCGTGGGGGAAGGTTGCTGGTGGGTGGCCACAAGTCATCCCTCAGACCTCCTCGCCTAGGCTTCCCTTGCCTTTTTTCAGGATGTGGGTCTTCACGGGAGGGGCACTCATGGACTCATCACAGGCTATGCCACATCATGCCAATTCATTCCATTTCATTTGCCTGATTCAGGTGGCTTCAAAGTACAATAGAACAAATAAATATACCATAATATAACATAGTATAGTATAGCAATATAGCATTCATGATGATGTGAAGTGGGCCTGCTTCAGGCCTATAGGTGAGGCCACCAACACTTTTTGGATTGTTTCGAGCAATTTTTCCAGCGATGCCATCCCATAAGAAGCAAAAGACTCTGCCGGAGCAACTTGGCATGCAGCATCCAAATGAAGAACATATCACAGATGTTTTGCAAAGTATTGAGCTAGGGAGGAGGAGGGGGGTCATACGGGGCGAAACGGTAGCCACCCTTTTCAATTTAGCTCTCCATCTTTTGAGAGGGGACCTTGAAGGCTCTATCCCTCCGTGGCTTGAGGGTCTCAGGAGAATGGAGGAGCAAAAGCTCTTCAAGAAGGGTGGCACCTTGGAGGACTGGAATGACCTCCTTCCAAACCACTTGATGTAGGTTGATGTCAAGGAGCATGAAGACACCTGGGTATTCTGAATCAGTCCTGAGTAAAGGTTGCACACCTCACTCTCACTCTCACTCACACTCACTCTACTCTCACTCTCACTCTCACTCAATCTGACTCACTCTCACTCTCACTCAATCTGACGCACTCTCACTCTCACTCTCCCACTTTGTCACTCTCACTCTCACTCTCACTCACACACGCTCACGCTCACGCTCACACTCACTCACACACTCACACTCACACTCACTGACTCACTGACTCACTCACTCACTGACTCACTCACTGACTCACTCACTCACGCACTCACTCACTCACTCACTCACTCACCACCGCCACCATCACCATGATCTTCACCTTCATCACCACCATCAGCACCTCTTGGACCCCAATGCGCCTAGATCTCTAAACTTTCTGCTGAGTTTGGTGCTACACCTCTAGACCTCACACACACTGTTTGGGGTCTTTTGCCGGGATAGTTTATTCCCAGAAGGAAGCATTGCACCTTTCTTGAACACAGTTTGCATTGGAATCCTGCTGGTTTTATCCTGTGTCTCTTACTTCCTTCCACCGTTCAACCCGGTGTCTTGGACGGTGCGCCAAACCCGCAGGACCCGCTGGGATGACGCCCTTGATGGCCACTGGGCGGGATGGAAGTCGGATGGACGCGGGGAGCGACGGTTGGGCGAGAAGCGCCCATGGTTTTGGGAACATGTTGAGCGTGGAAGTTGGAACATCTCATTGGTTTCTGAAGGAGATAGAAAAGACGAAAACACACTGTGAGAAACAGGGTTCTTCTTGAAGTTCTTTCTTGCGGCGGAGATGTTCAGTTTGTTTGTTGGGGGGGGCGGAGAGGTCGGGGCTCTTTGGAGTGTTTCTTGGGTTTTTTTCAGCCAAGACAAGGCGGCCGGAGGGATGAACTGGGGGACTGATGACCTTTCTGGGTGAAATGGTTTCTTTGTTGTAAGATCCGCCCTCCTGAGAATATGCTCCTCGTCTTCTCTTCTGGTCCAAAAAGGTCGCCCCCCCACCGGTTCAGTCTCCAACGGAGGGTTCTAGGGCAGCTACTGAAGGCTTGGGAGACCGGTCAGCTTGGAAGACGAAGCCAAAACGGAGATGATACTCCCGCACAAACTAACATAGAACCTGAGAATTGACCTCTGGAAGACCATTTTCCTCTACAACCCAGTGGTTTTGGTGTTCCATGTTAATCTGCAGGGGAGTACTTATTATATAGCATGATAATTTGTTCATCTCTTGTCTAACATGTCCTGACCTGTTAATTTCAGGTCAGCATTGAGAAAACTTCCACAGTGAACTGTCGATCTTGCAGCTGCTCAATTCATCGACAAGAGCTGAGCCACCATGGCATGTCCAAAGCGAACTCCATTGAACGCGTGCCGAACTTGCAGCGATCGGGGATCGATAGGGTACAAGGAAAGGGACTTGCTCGGTCGAAACCATCCTTTCAATGCTTCGAGTGACTTCAAGGAGCTGTCTTTAGAGGGTAAAGCGATTAAAGTTCCTCAAGGCAGATCATATCAAGCCTGATTCGACAGTTCAGGTTGATCACATTGATCATTTCATTCTGCTTTGGCCATGGCAAATTGGTGGCAATAGCCTGCAACGACTTGATCATGGAGGCTAGTGCGCAAACAGTAGTAGACCTGGGAAAAATCAAAGAACAAGCCTTGGATGCTTACATCTGTGAATTCTTCCAGGATTGTGGCTCCTTTGGCCACTTCTATTTCAGCAATGCAAAAAAAGAAACTCGGCACTTTTGGCGACAAGCCGAGCAGGCTGAGGTGATGGTCGATGCTTTGCAGGCGTTGCCCCATCGCGAGGATTTGCCAGAGCTGGTCGTGAAGTTGGTGCGTGGCATGCTGCGATGCCCGGCATGCCTGGTGTTTTGTTTCACATGTCGACCTAGGAAGAAGAAGGAACACCCCCAGGCCCAGGAAGGTTTGGGTTCCTCAAGTCGTGAATAGCATAGCCATAGCCCATCCAGAAGGTCTAGGAATCAAATAGTTTTTGCACTTTGGTTCAATTAAGGGTGGTTCTTCAATTTTCCCTCCTTTGGTCAATCCAATGTCTATGAGTGCCAGGCTGAATGCACATCCAAGGATGGTATAAAACGCCAGACTGGGTGAGCCACAATGGCTTCAACGACGACGTGCTATGGGCCGTCATCTTGATGGTCCGAGCCTTTCAAACACTGAATCCCTGGATTTGGCCGAGGAAAGTAATGTTTACACCAGGACCCCCTAAGGGGTTTCTATTGATAGCCCCCCTTAGCCGTAGATGTTAAGGGTGTCCATTAACCACCCCTTGTGGGGTCCTGGTATGTTTTCCCATGTTTTCCCTATTGAGTGATATCAGGTTTGGTCTATTTAATTTGGCCTTAGGCCGTGCCTCCTTGATGTGCAATTCAAGTGCTAGATCCTGGGGAACACCTTTTTCTGGTTCTAGCAATTTCAAGGAACTCACCACCAGAGGAGTGGTTGGCACACGCCAAGGAGCAGTATTGGAAGGTGTGGGAACGTGCTTGGGATACAGAGCGAGGGGGGTTGCTCTTCAAGAAACGGCACAAAAAAAACACTCCTTCCAAGAATGCCTGTGTACATGGTCCGGCTGCCATTGCCGGCTTCCTGTTGGCCCAGTGCACAGAAGGGGAGGAGAAAGAGCGCTTCATCCAGCACGCCAACCTTGCCTACGAGTGGCTGGTTGAGAACCTCTTTGAGGACAGCACAGGGTTTGTATTGGATCACATCGTCGAGAATCTTGAAGCTGCGGAGAGCGGCAAGAGGAATCCAAAGGGATGGACTTGGTCCTACAACCAAGCCACCTTTGTCGGAGCTTCGGCCTTGAAGCTGCGCCTTGGAGCTTCGACTGACTTCACGGTGATCCGTTCCCTGGTTTTGCTACTCTATTATGGTTTGTTTTTCCCACGTTAAACCCCTTATAAGGAGGACTATTGTTGGGCAGGTTCCTTCAACTGTAAGGCTCGCGCGCTGAACGGGTCATGGTGAACTTACAGGGCCCGCGCTTTTGCGAGAAAGGCACCTGCCTCGTGAAGCGAGAAGAGAAGAAGCCGAACGACGACGCCGCTGGCTTCAAGAGCATGGTGCCCCGATGGTTCAAGCTCTTCGCGGAGACAGCACAAGACTCGGAGGCGCCAAGGCCTTCGGCGCAAGACTCAGCGCCGACCAGTGTGCAAAACCTGTCCCAGTGGTGCATGACCAATGCCATGGCAGCATGGCAGGGACGAAACGGGCAGAATTTGTGCGACAACCGATGGACGCGCCAAACATCATCAGATGTGCTAGAAAGCTGGGAATGTTGTGCATCTTTGGCCTTCGTGCTGAATGCAGATGCTTCTGCACTTGAGACCTGACAGCTGTGTCCAAATGGGATGAGACAAGTCGGAGTTGCGTCTTCATCTCGCGCCGAAAAGGGAGGGGTGCTAAACATCCTCCGTGCTTGGTACTCAATGATGGTCATTTGACACTATAATATGCGTTTTGGACCCTGGTGAGGATTGATATAGTAGACTGTTGACTAGGGACAAGAAGCGAGTAGGGGCTCCTGGCCTTACTAGGAGCAAGGACCCTGCGAACGGGGCTGGCATCACTACTAGTAGCATTCTGCAGCATTCTTACTACTAGTGATAAGAAGATATTACAGTGCTTTCAGAGTAGATGGCACAGACCCCAAGAGGTGGTTTATATGAACCCCCATGTAAAGGACATTTTGAGGTCTGTACCATCTACTCTGAAACAACTGTAGGGCTTGGGGAGGAGGGCCGGCGGATCCCAGTCCCGCATCCAGACGACGAACGAAGCCGGTGTTCTGGTTCCGCGGAGCCTTCAAGGGCCTGGGGGAATGGGTATAGAGCGGGTACAAGATGGTACAAGCACATGTGCATATTCATAATATTCAAATATAATTCAAGCAGTTATAGTATACATATATATATATACACCTATTCTAGTAGCCAGCAATTGCAACATTCTTCGCACAGAACATGACGCCTATCAAGGATTCCTCAAGCGTCAGTAGCCTAGAATGCGTTCAACTGTTTGACTTTCAATTTAGCAACTGTAAGCCAGTCAAGAAACATTGTTGGTTTTCAGGTTTGGTTTGACTTGGATGGTTTTGACGGTTTGACGCTACAATGTAGCTGTTACGAGGCAAATGCCACCACTGGGAGATGGTCGTGTGGTTCTAGATGCCCATAAAGGGTCACAGTAAACGAAGTGCTCATCAGCTCCCTCCGAAGCTTCGGGTGTTCACAGACACGCATGTTCGGCTGCATTGCTTGCACACTCAGGTGGCATCAGTCGAAGGCTCCATTGATGCAGTGTAGCTTGGCAGGCTTCCCTTCCGGACCGTGGCGGTGTCAAAGATTGAAATTCAGCTCAGCTCCATGTCACCATGTCCCAGACCTCCCTGCCTGGAACATGGAAAGTTTACCATAGTTATGTTACATTGATCCATGTTGATCCTTTTTTTCATCCAACCCCCATGTCCTGTAATTACCAGCACCTTACGACTTCCGGTAACTCGGAGTTGGGCTGGAAGCCTTCACACGACGTGGACGTGGCCACACCCCAGGTCCAGAAGGTCCAGACTTGAGCGCTGCGTCGCGCTACGTATGATGCCCCAGTCCCAGACAGGTCGTGGGACCCCCCAAGAGACCCGGCGTGACCCGGCTTCTTTTCGCGAGGCGGGCCGCGGCGATTTCGTTGGTTGACGTGAAGCTCAAGTCACGACCCGAAGGATTTGGACCATTTTCTGATGAGTGGGGTGGTTGAAAAGGAAATCAATGTAGCTTTGCCACGAGACTTTTGGGGGGGAAGAGAGGTGTTGGTCACGCTCCGTGGCCGGTCGCTGGTCACGCTCCCGCGATGTTCCTGTTTCGCCACCCCAAACATCCCAACAACATGAAACACGCCGTGGACATCAACAGGATTCCGCAGGCACCTGGCGCCGCCAAGCTGTGCGAAGCCTGGCGCGCTTGGCGTGGCGCGCTAGAAGCGTCGCGCGTGACAAGCGCGTCGCTTCGTTCGGGCGCCGACCGGTCTCATCCCCCTTCTGAGGAAGACCTTGGTGCCCTTGTGCAGTCCAGCAGACTTGTCATCTGCCCTTTTGATGCGCCATGGCGGCATGCCAGTCCGGTTCGGGCTTCGTTGGTTCGCTCGTGTGGCATCCTGGGATGGTAGTAGGGATGGTTGATCGACCATCAGGTATTTTCCATCCAATAACCACCCCCAAATAGGTGGTGTTGGTATGTGGTTCTGCTCTCCATCTTTCGTTTGTCCACCTTCTTTCTAGTGCACCGGGCCGGATGCTCCACTGTGCGTTGGGAAAGATGTGCTTCGATGCTTACTTCGTCTGTGCGCCGAAGATGCCGCTGAAGGAGCTGAGGGATCTCTTGCATTTATATAGCTCATTCGGGCAGTTAAGGTGATTCGGGGTGGCCATTCACCATCCCACAAGTGGGTCGCGACCGGATGGTGGTTGTAGTTATGTTTATGTTCAACCACTTGGGATGATGGAAACCATTTTTCTTAATGCTTGTCAAGTGAGTTGACACCAAACAAACATCAATTCCATGGATGCCCTTTAAATGTTATATTGGTATTATTGAATTGTAGGCTGCTGGCTAGTCCGAAGGCTGAAGAAGTTTCACACAAACAGCATTGAATTACATACCAGGAGTCACAAAGGGGTGGTGTTTAGTCCCCAAGTGAGTGGATAATGGGCACCCCAAGCCTCCAAGTTCGGCACCCCTTTGCTCCTGGTTTATTAATATTAATTCTTTTTTCAACATCTCGGTGACTTGACACCGTCCCCTCCTTCCAAAAAAACAGAAACCAGCGCTGTGAGCGTGTGCGTGTTCCACGTCCTGCAGATGCCGCTGTTCTACACTTGTGTTTTGACTACGCCAAATCAAAGTGTGCTTCTTGTAGGCACATGTCCTGCAGAGGCAAGGTTTGGGGTAGACCAAAAATACCAAAAATACACATCCTGTAGAGGAATAGTTGGCCCCTTATGCCCAAGTATTTCCACCAGACCTTTGGTATGTGTGGTATTTTTTCTTGCAGGGGCAACTGGGGCAACTATTATTAGTACTTTTGATAGGTTTTGTATTTGTTGTATCCTCCTGAGCCTGAGGGCCCAACTACAATCTGTGAGAAGGGCATTCCTTGTGCTACATCATATCTTGACCGCTTGAGTTTGTACGCCTTTATCTTTGCCGGTTTGACAAGGTTGGGGATGTCAGAATCTTTCATAGTATAAATCATGTAGAACATATAATGTATATATTGTAATGTTGTGAACATGTTGTGAAATGACATGTTTCTTGCTGGGGTAAATCAAGATTGGAACAGGTAGGCTTTTCAACCCCCTTTTGGCGGTTCATTCGTGTGATTCATGGCGTTTCAGTTGCATGCCTTTTCTGCATATTTGCACAGATAAGACTCTGGGTGATTTGAGCCTACATCCTACACATACTCATGATAAAAGAGCAAGTGCCCCTAGCCTTGGATTGGCCACGTAAGCGGTTTGACAGCCTTAATTCGATAACACGTGTAAATCTACAGTAATCAAAGCACATATGAAGAGCCCTTATGGAGACATAATAGACAACATTGAAGAAATCGTGAGTGATGATAATGTTTAGAGGCGTTGTTTCACCTTCTTGGACATGTGCAAAACGGCAGTTTACTACATTAAGAAAAAACCAAGGAATATATATATATATGCCAAGAAATCATAAAACTAAATCAATCAATAATCTCAACAACATTGAGGAAAGTACAAAATATAAGAAAACAACAGTGACACAAACAAGAGTTTGAAGAGCCCATATCTATTAAGTTCAAGAAGGCGATTGAAGGAGTTCAGACGAATGCATTTTTAAAATATTCATTTTAGGCTAACATAGAGAAGATGGTCAAACTCAGAGTTCATTGATTTGAATCATAGCGCATTACGATAGAAGACTGCACTGTGATTATGTGCATGTCATCTTGCAGTCTAAAGATAGCTGGTTTTGAAACATACACAGCTCTGCCCTGCGCCCTCTCCAAAAAGAACCATGCCCGAAAGTCATGTCCCCAAAGGGGAGCCTTGCCAACCAACCGGCTGCGGAGTCCAGCTGCCTCCCGCGGTCGCTTTTCCAGGTCCAGC